GAGAATTGGTCTGCCTATTATTTTTACTACTTTCTTCATAAATAAAGCTAAATCCTACATGGGTCACTTGGACTTTTCCTACTGTTTCTCTCTCTCCCCGGTGCAGGCAAATTTTATTGTACTGATTTAGTACCTTGATTACCACATCATACTTCTGGGGTTTTGTTTGGTTTTTTGTTTGTTTCCTCCTGAAAATGAGGAGAAAATAAGAAGAATAATTATAACATTTCTTCTTCGTTACTCATCAGATTTTTGTATGCCATCAATTAAAAACACATCTATTATAAATACACAATATCCATCATTTAAATTAGGGCAAAGTTTTAAAAATGCCCTGTAAGATTTTTCCATGTCAGAATAATTCGATCACTATTATGTTTCCCTGATGCAACTATTTTGGGACTTTGCTTGTTCCTTGATAGGATTTTAATTAAGTCATTTACATTTAATTTCCAAATATGTAGCTGTTACAGAAGGCAGCGAGGAAATGAAAAGACAAAAAGAAACCTGAAGACAGCCAATCTTTAACAAAAATATTTCTGATATAAAAATGAATATGAGGAATACTTATTCAGTGATAAGTATTCCAGTCCATGTCTGGTAAACTCTCAGATAATGGCAGCATGGTAGGGTCACTGAGGTTCTATTAGCTCAATTAATGAGGAGTAAGATAAGGCTAACACCTAGCTCTTCAAATGGCTAAAAAAATAGAGCTGATAGTAATGGAGTTATTAACCTTCGCCAGCCATTGAATTTTGCTGCTGATTCAAACTCCATTTCCTAGTTCAGGCCTCCATTAATAGGCTGTTTATTATCCCTAATCCACACCGGGATCAGCTGCAGAAATATGAAAGCCCCATGTAAAGACCAAATAGTTAAAAAAAAAAAAAAATCTTTTTCTCCATTCTTGTTTTTCCCTTTTCAACATATTCACATATTCTACCTTAGAAATTAGGAACTTCATTATCCTAAATGGTTTGAAACCTAACAAGTTTCTTAGTAGTGCGATGAAAAAGAAGCTTTAAATACATTATGTAAAAAGATGACATAATTGGAGATACAGCCACATCGTTTTGAAGACCAAAGAAAACACTGCTGGAAAATGTGCACTGGAGAAGCCAGTGTTGTTTATTTTCTCTACTGGAAAAGAAAAAAAACTTCAATATTTGAAATATGTTATATACCTGTTGTTATATCAATCCTCAAATTCATCCCTCCCCTGCTCAGCTTTGTCCACTTGTATTGTTTGTATATACTACTGTAATATAATTAATCAATACTGAAATGTAAATTAATCAACCGTGGATTCAGATTAGATGAGGAAAAAAACCCAAAAACCAAAAAACAAAGGAAATGGTGGAACAGAGGAACTGGGCATCCCAGGACGCACTTAGTAGCAGAGCCTGTTGGCACAGATGGAAGGGCTTGCTTTATGGGCTTGAGGAGAGGTACAACAGAAACCTGTCTACAATTTTGCCTACAAAGATCTTGAGTTAAATGGTCTTTAGTCTCTTTGATGAGCTCGTACACACTTGGTTGAGATTTGTGACACTTTGTGATTTTTCAGTAGATTTTCCATGAAAGACACTGTATAGCTACAATAGTCTACACACACAAGAGATTCTTCCAAAATCTATCACAGTAACATCTAATAGAAGATCAACAACTATGAGTAATGGAGTTAAGATCAAAATAAAAAATGCTTATGTTAATATATATACACATCCAGTACAGAGTGCTACCCTCAAAACTGAATGCAGTTCTGGTTGTCCCATCTCAGCAAAGAAACAGCTAGAATAACTAGAGAAGGTAGAAAACAGAAAGACAGGATGATCAGAAGAGTGAAATGATTTCTAGGAAAGGAAAGGATAAACAGATCAAGGTTCTTTGCCTGGGGAAGCGATGACTGAACAGGCAAATACAAGAGGCTTATAAAATCAGGAGTGTTAGGAGACATGAACAGGGAACGCTTTTAACTGTTTCTCAGTAGAGGAAAGGAAAACAGACAAAACACTGAAGAATTTTCACACGACACCTAGTGAAAAAGTGAAACTCCTTTCCGTATGGTTTAGTGGAGGCCAAAAGTACAGTGTTGAAAAAGAGACTATAAAGTCAAGGAAAATGGGATATTAGACAGTTGTCCAGATGACCCTCTGGCTCAGGGAATCCTTAAACTGCTGATTGCCTTAAGCTGGCCTGGAACCAGCAGACAGCTGGTCATGAACCAGCTGAAGCTAATGACAAGAGATATCTAACAGATGACATGGTTGCTGCTGAATCGTATTTTAACTGTCAGTTTGGGAGAGAGCAGAAGGAGATAAGAAATATTTTCCTAGATATTAAATAGAGTGTTTGGAATATTAGAACTATCCATGGCTATACTATGTGTTTCTTATTGTTGCTCAAGCATTAAAAATAAAAAAAAAAAAAGCTAAAATACCTATTTACAATCATTTAGATAAGGAACTGAATTCAGTTCTTTGCATTAGTAGTTCTGACCTTCAGATGCCAACCTGTAACTGTATTTGGATTCCCGCTCACTGTAGGCACTAAGCGGTTAACGTTGTTCTTTTACTAGAGAGCTGAGAGACCACTAATAGATTCAGCTTCTTATTTGCCCTAAAGGCTGCCACAGTTCAATACGATTAGGATCCTGTCCACTTAAGCAGTAACTGCTTCATAGGGAGGAACATAGAAAGCAATATATGTCTTCTCTGAGTACAGAAAGAGCAGTTCTTTGGTAGACAGGTTTTGTCAGGTTTTCCCGTACCAGTCTGTAAGTAAGCCTTTGCTTTACGGCAAATTCTAATTTAAAGAAAACCCCGTACTTTACTTTTTCAGTGGAAAACGAATTATTTTCCTTTTTGTTCCAGGATACTTCTTTGGATTCAGTGGCTGATGCTGTATGAGTTTTTTTTTTATTGTTATATTTTAACAAACTTTATAGCCCATTTTGTTTGTTTTCAAATAACTTTATTTTCCTTCTTTTCTACCATCAATTACTAGGTTTGTTTTTCTTTCCATAAGATGGAGGAGTCAGGAGACTGATCCTGCTCAATGCTGTATAATTTAGTATTATGTGTACTAGCTTTATGGGGTTGGAGTCAGATAAAACATAGTATTTGAACACTAACCATTTATTAACTCTAAGGAATAGATTTGTGACTTGACAAGCAGACAATAACTCTGTGTTCTGATCAGCCAAAGAGGTCTACTTTGAGTTCAAAACACAGAGTAACATACTCTTTCACAAATAATTTTGTTTACTGATGTGACTGGATTTTAATAATAAACTTGATATATATGTAAATTTATTTTAATCTAATTTCATCAACAGAGCCCTCCTAAAAATGAGACTTTGTAGATTGTTCTGTGTCTGATTTATAGATTTCTGCATCCTATTCCCAGATTGATTTCAAGGCTATAATTCTATCAGGTTTTTCTCCTGATGTCAGAAACACCACCTCTGCAGATAGTATTTTATAACTAGCATCACAACTGAAACTGAATTACTGCCCTGCTATCCTATGCTGCAATATGTCCTTTTGTTTATAATCACCCTCTCTCCATTATACACCTACTACTTCAGTTTCATGGAAAATATCAGCTCCAAAATCAATCAGGTAGCATGATGTCTATTTTTGTCCCTTACTTCAACCCCTGTATAAAATAGTAGGGGCCAAATTCTTAACTCAGATATGAACGTGCAGAGCTCTTTAAAGAAAATGGGAGCTTAGCAAATGGATCAGTGCCAAATTTACACACATACAATTTTATAACGAGTTGTTCTTCCTCACTTGATGAGGTCTTGATCCTGTAAAGGAGCACGCAGCACACACTTGAGTGTTCACACTCATCTCAGGCACTCAGATACATGTTTAGGGACTCAGGATCTACCTTCTAAATGCACATGAAGGATAACCCATGGGAAATATTATTTAACTGAATCCAGCATAAGTTTCAAGGTTCTTTCTCCCTTTTTTAATGAAATTGATTCCTGTTTAAGATGTATTTTGTCTTACTTTTAATAAAGCTACTGCTGTTTTCACGTACTTTCATTTTTAAACCTGATGGCATGACTGCTAGCTCCTTCCCTTTTCACTCTCCTCTTTTCTCTCTCCAACTCAGTCTTAGCCTTTTATTTCTTTCTACTATACCCTGTACAGGCAGTGAGGAGGAGACTGAGGGCAGCCACACTGAAGACACAGGAAGAGTAACTACCAATTTAAACACTTATGTGGGTAATATACCTTTTCCAGTACTATTTTTTAGATAAGAATAAGCTTCTGGGAAGCATAATGACTACAAATTTCCATTGTATGCCTTTGGAATGGCCATTGTGTCAGCCAGCAGCATGGACTGAACCAGGAACCCCTGGGAGGGGAATGGAAAAGCCTCTTGTCTTTGATGACTACATCAGCATTTCAAATCCTCAACACCTTTGGACCAGCTGTAGAGAGTAACCCTATTTTATTTGCCTGGCAGTCATAACAGTTCTCTTTTGATGCCCATTTCTCTTATATTACACATTTCTGAACACTTCATTATAGCTCAAATAAAATATAATTCTCATGTTGTTTTTAATTATTTCACAAACCCCAACAGTCTCATAATGAGCTCGTCGCAATACTAATATATTTCCATGATATTATGCCAGTGCTAAAGAAAGACGATGCAGATCCTCCCTCCCGTTGCAAATAAAATACACCTTCTGATATAATCCAAACTTTAATCCATTTTTTATGGTTTGCCTTTAGAGGCAACTCAAACAAATAACCAGAACAACAAACCTCTCCTCTCTCCCACCGTTTGGCCATCTGGAGGATTTGTAAGGCCAGTGCTCTATTTCCTACTCTCCAGGAGCAAGACCCCTCTTCTAGCTAAGGAAGCAATAAATAAATAAGATGCAACAGCCTATTCAATGTCAGGAAAGATCTGTACCTTTCCACAAACAGATTTTTCATATATGTAATGTCGCAATTGCTAAATTTATATCTTACCTGTTTGGAATAATATGTGAGTTTTGCAGCTGTTCTCCCTGCTCTATGTCTCTTGGGAAGCCATAAAGCACCCAACCATTGGTCATGCAGTCTAGCGCGTTTAGGCGGTCTGCCAGGATCTTCATAACAAGGTTGTCTGGGACTGCAAAGGATTAAAAAGATGACATTTATTTTGTATGCTGAGTCTGCAATTAAGGAGGATACACGCTACTTTTTCTGGTTAGACTGCTACAGGAACTAAAACACAAAGAGTTATTCCTGTTTATTCATAGATTTTGGAGAGAGGAGTTACTGTTCACTTTTGCATATTTACTGTGCTATCATGGAACCCCAAACTCACAAGGAACTGTAGGACTAAAGCAAAATATGTGGTAAAAACTGATGCCTACATAATTTTGCAATGTACTTTTTTCTCTCAGCCATACTGGGCTGATGTCACAATGAAGTGTGTGACACAATCTTATCAAAATGCAAAAATAATGACCTGAGTTGTGTAAAAGAAATCCTAAATCAGGAAAGAAATTTCTGAGGCATTCTGTATTTAACTTAGCAGATGATAATGGTTCTGCCACAGCAGGCTAGATGTGATATTTTTCTGATTTGCCCAAAGGCTTGAAACTTTTATAACTGAAAATAAATTTCCAAAATGTATTTCAACGACCATAATTACTGCATTGATGACTCCCTAATTTTAGAGATAAAAGTCCTCCTTCCTCTATTATTATTTTTCTTTAGGGTGAGAGAGAATATCAGCAAGATGCTGACTGGGATTACAATTACTATGCAGCTTTTAAAATTCTATTTATTAAGATACAGTGGTAAGAAGGTATCCTGCATATTTTCACTGTAGCCTTCATAAAGCAAAATCTTTCAATCAAGATACTTAAATTTTTGTATCTTGTAACTTTTTCTTTTTTTTTACAGAAGAATTAAATTATTAGGTTCAACAAGAGTGACTATAAATTCTCCAAGGATTCTTGCAATGTGTTGGACTTAGTGTCAAATAACCCCAAAGAAAGGTCAGCAAAATCACCTCAAGCTACTTCCCGAAGAAGCAGCCTAAACAATTTTCAAGAAGCAATGAGTCCCATCTCTTTATTTGTACAGTATGTCTAATACACTGTTGCCTCTGCTGGAAACAAGCAATAAAAAATGGTACATAAATCCACATCACGGAATGTTGATGTTTTGATACTCACCCTGCCATCGCATCTGCATACAAAAATACAACAAGTGCTTGTAGGAGGGAGAGCATGTGTGTCAGGTTTGTAACAACACTATTTGCTTTAGGACTAGCTGACAGGAGTGCACCCGTATCTTAGTAGAGTATATTATTAGCAGTGCAGATGTATACCCTGAGTGCAAGCAGGTTTTAAACCACAACAGTAGCATCCATTTGCTTCCTGAAATTTAATGTTTCCTTAAGGCTTACACCTCTATCATGAAATTCATTACTTCTCCTTTAAATAAGCAAATTACTGAGTTTACAGAATTGCACTCAGGCTTAAATGTACCAGCAAAAAAGAGAGGAAAACCGCAGGGAATTAATTAGAAAACTGATTAGTGTATTAATTGAGGATATCCACATTATAAAAAAAACAAGTTAAGAAGAGTAATATTCTCCATCTGCTACAAGAAAAAAAAAAAAAGAATGGAATAAAATCAGACACTTAACAGAGAGCAAAATGACAATGCAAAACTAGGCATTCCATTAAAAATGGGATTCATGAAATTAACTATACCGGAGTGGAACAGCAGGCAGAAATGTTGTTAGACAGATGATACTTATCTAAGAGCTGAGCTGCAAGCAGGCATAGAGGGTATAACAGGAGAATTTCAGTGCTCTTTGCAGGGCAGCTCATCTCCCCCTGTCCCAGGTTACAAGAACCAATACAAACCCAAGACATCCTAGTAGGAAAAAAAAGGAAAAAAATCCTACCTTCTCTTTCCCCAAAATGTATTCCATACAAAAACCAGTGGAGTTTTCCCGTACACCTGAATTTCTGGCTGCAGCGCTAAACTTTCTGTCTTGATGCATGTTATTTTATCATAATTCCTACTGGAATCATTAACATGGATTTGCAAAGATGCCAAATTACATGATTTTTTGGGAAACATTTTCAGAATGCTTAAAACAGTTTTGCAAGAGACTGGAATAAAACCTACAAACCCATGAGAAAAACTGCACTAAAGTATGATTCTGCCAGAGCTAAGGTTCTTGTGACATGAACAGGGAATCAGGGCAGAGGCTGAAAGCCCCAGGAATGACACAGAGAAATAAGTGGGTATACTGTGTGGTCGAGCTTCCGGCAGATTATAGGAGATTCTCCAGTTCCAGGGGCCAAATCGCTTCCATCCTGCATATGGGAAAAGAAGAAACACTACAGCCTACAAGAAAATTAAAAAGCAAATGTGATGGGAATCAAGGCAGCATCTCCTCTATATGATCACTTCCTATACGCCTTCTGTGAATCCTGATGATTGAAATCCTTCACTTTAGTCACTATTTTTGAACAAAACTGAAGCAATCACAAGTGGAAAAAAAAAAATCAAGATGCAGTGACAATTCATTAACAGTTTATCTAACAGCATGTCAGATTTGGGGTATTTTGAGTAGTACTGGGGATATGTGGTGACCCTGACACCTTGCTGGTTTCAGCGATGACTGACTAGAAGAAATCAGCAATACACTTTAGATTGTTTGTACACTCCTGTCCATATATACATCACTGAATAATATAGATGTTTACATATTTTCTGTGCCTCCCTCTAAAGCTTGATGGTGAAAAATAAAACATAAACAAGTCAGACAGCAAGCTCTGCTTTCCTCTTGATTAGCAAACATACCTATCACTTCAACACAATAGGGGAACATAGTTTGTTGGCTCTTCAATGGCATTACAAAGTACATCAGCTGCCCTTGAACAGGAACAGTCACACTTAAAACAGCTGCATTAAAACTGTAAAACATCTTCCACAGACTGGGGCGGTGGGGGGGAGAGGGGGGTGAAGAGAGAGAAAAGGAGGGAAGAAATCAGTGATTCTTATTTTGCTGTGGTACAGAGTAGGTAATAAGTAACTCAGCAGTATGGTATTCCTTTTCACTCATGTGGAACTGTCTCCTGAATGTAAGGCAAATTAATAACCTGTAATTGGAGGGGCACACAATCGGTAAGTAACACCAGAGGTCTCCTGGACTCAAGCACATGACCCAACGGGCTATATAGCAAAGTAAAATTTAGAGCTTTTCTGATTAGACAGTCAATCTATATGTTTTAAGTAGATTATGAAGCACAAGATCTTTGAATAATCAATTCCTTTTCAACATAAGCTTGTGTGAGTTTCCAACTCTGAAAGTTGGGGGAATGAGGCACTAGAGAGGTTTTACTTTATCATTATAGAAGTCCAAAGATAAGTTTCTTGTAAAAATTACAATGTGCTACAAAGAGATAGCCAGATTAGGTCATGTGGAAGCACGTCTCCATTAAGGAGAGAAATCAAGGTACAGGAGTAAAATTCACCCACCAGAGGTAAAGCTGCAGAGCTACAGTGATACCCAGTGCTGAGAGCACTGTACATAGCTGTGGACCAAGGTTACAGTGAACCTCAGAAATGGAATACGTGGCAGAATGAGGCCACAACCAGGTCCATATAGAAGTGTAATTCATTCATGCATACATTCTTGCCTAACATCAGTACCACACACCATATCTCCTTTATCTCCCAGCCTCCTAGTCTGTTAACAGTCTAGACTATGCAGCTGAATTAGCAGCTGTGGACCTAAGAAGTGATCTAATCAATTCATGGGTATGATCAGGCAGGGTACAGGGAACAGGAGCTTTAAGTGCTGCTGTTCATGCTGGAACTGCTCTGTGGACACCTAGAGACTTTCTGTCTCCAGGGCTGTCAATCAGCAACTTCCAGCAGACCATTTAAAAGATAAATTTACTTCCCAGAGCTTCAAAGGTTTTCATAAGTATAAAGTACTCCTCATAAAAAGTACTTCCTCAAGAAACTCATAGGAGTGTGGCCTATTAGCTCTTACCCAACCCATAGATCTGCAGGACTAATAGAAAACTGTATCAGGCAATCAGTTGACAAAATCATACCAACTGCTCAAGACAAAAGTAGGAGAACATTAAAGGCACAGTGTGAAGGGCAAAAACACTGCCTGAGAGATTAAAGGGCACTATTCTCCAATAGCTTCAATGCTGTCAGTGCTCCAAGCTATACAATTATCATATTTAAATTGATTCCTCCTCCATATATTTCTCTTTAAAACAGACTTTTGAAGGGTATTGACTCACTTCTCCAAACCGATAAAACCTCAATTCTAAGTACAGCGTAAGCACATTTGCAGATACAAATTCTGTCAGCTTTGTGTTGTAAAAAGTTTAAGGTCCTTTTGACAATATTGTCCATTTATCCTTTATCCTTCTCTTGGAGATTTTTTTTTTTTTAAGCTAGGTCTGAAGACTTTCACAGCTAATTCAGATGCCTGAGGCTTGATCCCAGTACCTGACAGTTAACATCTTGCCCAGAGTATAAACTACCGCCAAAGGCTACTTCCCTGCGTTGTCCTGTCAATCCTAAATTTAGCAAAGCATAAGATTTGCTTATTTTATTGCTCTATAAACTCCAGATTATTCACAATAGGTCATTTTATTTGGGTCTTTCAGAGAAGTATTTTGTTTGCTTGCCCACATTAACGTTCTCAGAGATTGTATCAATTTGTTTTTAACGTGTTTGAGGATGATTCAATAGTGATTTACCATCATGTAGGTTGATCAATATTTTCATTTAATCCTGACAACACATCAGATTTGTGAAAACTGGGGTGGCTTTGCATTTCATACAATCATGAGGAAATGTCAGGAAGATGTGCCAGGGGAGGGTGAGGTTGGCCATGAGGAAAAGGTTCTTGAGGCAGAGGGTGGTGGAGCACTGGAACAGGCTCCCCAGGGAGGTGCTCATGGCACCAAGACTGACAAGATTCCAGAAGCATTTGGACAATGTGTGCCCTCAGGGACATGGGCTGATTTTTAGGATTGTCTTGTGCTGGGAACGGAGATGGACTCAATGATCTAACTCTTGATGATCCAGTCTTTGAAGAAAGACTGGGAGAGCTGGGTCTGTTCAGTCTTGAGAAGACTGAGAGGTTACCTTATTAATGTTTAGAAATATTTAAAGGGCGGGTGTCAAGAGGATGGGGCCAGACTTTTTTCAGTAGTGGCGAGCGATAGGACAAGTGGCAACAGAGACAAACTGGAACATGGGAGGTTCCACTTAAAATAAGGAAAAACTTCTTTACCTTGTGGGTGCCAGAGCCCTGGAACAGGCTGCCCAGAGAGGTTTGTGGAGTCTCCATCTCTGGAGAGATTCCAAACCCACCTGGATGCCATCCTGTGCAACATGCTCGAGGTGAATGTGCTTTGGCAAGGGGGTTGGACTAGATGATC